AGATCCATATACGGAACAGGTAAATGCCAAAGTAGAGATCTGCCAATCAGGGATTTTGTGATGATGCCCAAAGCAGTTTCTCAAATTACTAAATGTGCCCACAGGTCCAAAAGGTTTGGGAACTACTGGAGTATGAAATATTATACCGACTTGAAAAAAAGTCAAAATAATTTCTTTAATCAGGGATATTTGTCTCTTGTTACAGACAGAATAGTCTCTTATCTGGAGATTGCTATCATATTAGAATAATGCTCATTTGCTAGGATCTTTTTCTTACATGTATGGCACTGCAATACTAGAAGTACAGAAAAAATACTTTGACCATCTTCAGTAGTCTCTGATATTATGTCAAAGATGACACATGAGAGTTTTAAAACTAAATTACACCAGACACTAGCGATGTTTTTTAACAACAGCCATTTATGTGAGAAAATTTAACTACTTGCCTTTGTGCAATTACTTGCTTTGTTCAAGTGGAAGGAACAAAATTACTTGCTTAGGTCACAAACACACAGCTATTTTTTAAGCAGCAATATTGCTGGCATACCACTGACATTAACTAATGCTAAAAATGTCAGGAATGTTTATATAACTAAACATCATAGTGGTTATTACTGGTGCTAAAATCTGCTAAGAAAGAATATTTTCCTGTCAAGCAAGACCTATAGGATAATTTATTCCACCAATATCAAAGCAACAGAAGTATCAGGATAAAAAGCGAACATAACTAAAATAATGGTTGCCACTGCTTGCCATGTACTCTTATAGTCGCAATCCATAGCTATTGTAATCAAGTAGACTTTGTCACTGACCTCAATGGGATATGAATTATAGCCTTAATGTACAACAATGTTATTTTCTCCTTTCACATCCTGAGATAACCACAAATACTGCAATAGCTAGCAACAAAATAATACCCCAAGAGCTATTTATTTTACAATAGCAATAGTTAAGAATGAAGCTTTGGGGGGGGGGGGGGGAGATAAGAAAACTGACACACACACCCTCCCACTATTTTTTCTGCAAAAGGCTTGGGGTCCACAGATTGCATCAAGAAATCATTTTTGCTTTCAAATCTTTTTCAAAGCATTGCACTTTCCATTCTCCAGCATTTATTTACATGACTGTTGGTGAACAATTCTTCACTTCATATTCTAGTGTATCTCTTGTCTCTATACCCCCATAATCCAATACATTCCTGTCTTTAACCTTTGCTCCTCAAATTCCACATTATCTGTTCATGCATCTTTTGTTGCTGCCCTTTATTCTTTGCTCCTCTTTTAATATGGATGGACAATAAGTGGCTCTCCAGATGCTGTTAGACTGCTCCATCTAGAGGGCCACCTCTGTCTCTAAGCGTAAAGTTGCCTCATAGGAACATCTGAGTAATGCTAACGCTCTTGTTTCCTTTAAACCTCTCTTCAAAACTGAAGCCTTGGCACAGCACTTAATATCAGAATCTGCAAATTAATCTCTATTTGCCTTGCTCTTCCTCTGCCTGCTCCCCTGTGTTAAGCTTTGAACTATAAGATTCTTAGGGCAGAAACCTGTTCTCTTACACCTTGCAATATAAATAAAACTGCTTGATTCTTTTATGCCACATAGTTTGTTTCATCTTCTAGCGAATGTTCAGCACATGGTACCATCAGCTTTGCAATGAAACTCAACACAACAATGGGATTTCTTATTAAAAGCTATATATGAAGTCCTAAAGCAGAAAATGCTGACAAGTGTTTAATTCCATTTGTTCATTGCTTTTATAGATGAACAAAAGAAGCCATCTTAAATTGACTCATATATTAGGAATGTGAATTATTTTCAGGAAGAGATATAATTATACATATATTCCTATACATATTTTTTAGGGGGAGTAACAAAATAAAGAGTTCCCTTACCGCAAGATATTTTGACAAAATTATGTGAACATATAAATTAAATTGTTAACATAGAAATAGTAACTATGATTAATAATGTGTTAAATTTTAAATAATCTAGAACTAATATTTACGTAACTATCTTAATAATTAGATTCCAACTCTCTACAAATAGATCTCAACCTACCCTTGCTTTATTTAAAAGGAACTTTGATCAAACACATATAAGTTCTATCTTTGCTACTGCCTTACAGATACATGAAGTCTTAAGCATTGGCCTGCATGTAATTATATTGCATAAAATGTAATCATGCTATTAATATTATTAAGCCATAGAATAATTTCTTCCTCTAATATCAAAGGAACACATTAAAAATCTCTGGATAAAACATAACCAAAATAATGGTTGCCACTGGTTGTCATGAATTCTTATGGTTGCAAACCATATATCAAAGCCATTATATATGGTTGTAATATAATGCTGCAATAATGATATTCCTCCCAGTTCTGTTTAGATCCTACTAACAAAATGCTAACATTTCAGAGATAATCTAGCTGTGCCTTCTTTTCCCTTAATATGTTATTTTTCTAAAGGCGAGATTTTGGTCTTACTGAACTAGAGGCATGGTTTTATATATTTCCTTGTCCTTGTTTACATTACATTTTATTTTTGTGAATGCATTCAGTGTGTAATCAGAGCTATATTTAATTACTTTCAAAAGAAGATGAGTGTCCCTATTTTTTCAGAATGTGCATATTCTGCAAAAATCTGGATATTTATAGAACTCTTGTTTATAACATTGTGATATGCATAACAGAGATCAATTTGAATGGGATTAAAGGCTTTTTGCTATTGTGGAGAAATGCAAAAAATTTGCAAACACTTCTCTGTATATTCATTCTTTCTTATAATTAATATGTTTGTGTGTTGGAAGGGCACTTTAGTGCAGGAGAACAGAATAACAAAAATAACAATTAAATTTCTAGGCTATAAAACACAATTTGACATCACACCAGGAATTAGTTTTAAATTATTTGATTTCAAGGTGATGACACTTAATGTGCAACACTCATTTCACAAACTAGTTATTAAAGTGGCAATATTATACACACTTACCTGGGAATAAATCCCACTGAACTCAGTATAGTTTACTTCATTGCATTGTAAGATACTTATATGAGTATGTGAATTTCAGATTTGTCTAATATAAATCTGTGAACAAACTTAGAATATCTGTATCAGGATTCATCTATCTTTTACTATCTCACCAAGTTAATTATAAATCCAAAGAAAATAGTTATATTTTAGAGAAACAGGTATGAATGAACACAGACTTCTCTAGTGTGTTCACACAGAAGTATGCAAGTGCACAGAGGTGTTACACATTGCTGTAATGGTGAAACACTGACTCCTTTATTTTTACACCCTAAACAGCAAAACAGACCTGACTCAGGGAAGTGACAAAGACAATGACCTTTACATTTGTAATGGTTCCTTCAGACATCTCTTTGAACTAAACATAGCTTTTGGGCTTTTCCTGAATTATTTCTTAGCCAACAACCTCTATGTACTTCTTGACCAAAATCACTAGTTTTCCTTTCAATAGAAAATATTTATAGCCTCAAAATAATTATCAAAATACAAAATAATTATCAAAATACCTATACATTCTACTTAAATGAAGTTAGCTTTTAGACCAATTGAGAACTGATCTATTTTACTTTGAAGAGTACTAACCACCAAAATATTTCAAAATCTTTTGATTTCCACTTCCTGGATGAAGAAATGAATAGGCCAAGTATAAAAATACAGTTTCAACAGACCTATTTATATCCATGCATTTTAAGGAAATATTGGTGTCAAAACTGTACCTCCCAGCCAATACATTTTCAAGTTCTTGCATTCTGCCCATAACAGCTCCTTCCTTGGCTCTTAAGCCTACATCATTATGGTGATGAAACCCAAAGCAACCTCCACCACCACCCCCAAAAAAAGAAAAAGAAAAAAATAGAGTAAATGAAAGATCAAGCTTTCAAGCAATACATTCATGCACAAAATGGACACACAACTAAACTAAAATTACTATGATGAGCCTCAATTTAAAGCGGACTTGGCTGATTAAGATACATGCTAAATTTTGGATTTTTAAAAAAGCTCAGCAGTTTATGAGAATGTTTTCTTTTGTTTCTTTATATTCACTAATTCATGTAAAATACGCAGTAACTGCAGGGGATCCTGTGATAAGCAGTTTCATGCTGTGTAAATGATACCAAAGATGGTACTCTGTTAAAATCCTTTGGAAATGATATATAAAAGCATGTATTCAATACAACGAACATGTGGCTTTATTATTAATAAATTTTCATGGAAGGTTCCTTTCTGAACATTACAGAACAGTAATATGGTTTCTCCCATACAGATCCACAGTACAGAGAAGCTAATGGAATGAAGACAAACTCTTCAAGATTAGGATTTCTTAATCCTGGGTTTCATTCAGGAGGTTTTGCTTTCCAGAAAACAAAACCCACAATGAACGATTTTTAGGTGAGATCACTGAGCTGCTAGAAATTGATATGTGCTCACTGATACTTGACTGCCTGCCCTTAACTTCCAGATGCAGCTACAAATGTATTTGAACAACACTGTGCCTACTGTATGCCTAGTAATCTTATGATAACATAATGGTAGTTTAAAGTAAGCCACAAAATCCATGCAGTAATTATTTTGTGAGCAGCTTTTATTTTTAAATGGCTGCTATATTTGTGGATGACTCGCTAAAGCTGTTTTTGACACTAACTTGAAAACCTGTAATACCATCAAGACTGTAATCCTATATGCACTTACCTGGGAAAAGTCCCACTGAACTCAACAGGACTTACTTCTGAGTAGGCATGCTTAGGATTACACTCTTAAGTACTGCTTGTTATTGCTTTTTAATGAACAAAACCAGTAACAGTTTGAAGAGAACAAAAAATGCCATCTGTGATGTACCTTGCCTTGCTTCTAAATTAAGAGCTAGATGCAACCTTTGGTCTGTCAAGAATGCAACACTGATGAGATAGCCAGACACTGTCTTAACTACACTCTTCCTCCTGATTTAGCAAAACACTCTTGTATTCTCTTACCTTTATGGTTTTGGTCTGGAGTCTGAGTCCATTTAAAGTGTTAATGGCTTTCTCTGCATCCTTTGGATCAATATAGTTAACAAATCCATACCCTAAACTCTGCCCTGTTGAAACATAAGAAACAAAAAAAAAAGGGACTCAGTATTCTTTGCAGTGCATGTGTACGATTTCCAAATGGGGGATTGAAATCCTTTTCTCTGATAACCTTTTTCACCTACTGCTTTCATCCCAATGCAGAAAGCATACCTGTACAGTCGGAACTGCTCAGAAATAGAGTAATATTTTTAAAAATCATGGGAGCTTTGGGGTTTAACAGGTACTGATTCTTCTAGATTCCACAGTACTCTTAAAACTGCAAAAACTTACAGGAGTACATTAAAAACTTATTGATGAGGTCAAACTTTCTGAACTTTATTCTACAAGAATCAAAGCCAGAGAACAGACAGGAGACAGGTAGCAGCAGCATAACAAGCACAGCTTTGTATTGTTTTAATTAACAGACAGAATTAAAGAACTGGTTGTACAAGTAACATAAATTCAGTTTAATGTGAAATAAATATAAAGCTTAAGCCAAAACAATGTTGAGCATGAGCCAACTAAATTCTCACAAAGTAGAAACCCATAGTTACTTGATCTCAGATTACAATAGTTACATACCACCTTTCAACAGAAAGTGGTTCCCATAAAAAATTAAGCAGTAAAAAACAATGTGTAAAAATCAGAATGATCATGAAAAGCTAACTTCCAACAGCCAACAAACTACTGCACAAATATGATCAGAAGTGGCAGAATATTACTTGTCAGGAGCCTGTACTTTCTGCACTGTGTTCATGGGGAAAAGGGAAATAGTTTCTACATTCAGATAGTAGGAGACTATTTTAGCAGCTAAATCATTCCAACCGCTTTTCTGATCATTTGAATCCAGTACACACAACTTAGTTTGGTAAGACGATATTCATTATGGGATTCAGACAATCCTGGGGTTTGCAATATACTTGGAAAATTTGATCAAGGAAAAATGATCCCATTCAGTTAATAACATTCAAGCACAGTAAAGAGTCTGTTCAGCTGCCTCAAGATATTCAGTGCTGGAAAATGCCAACCATTCCCATCAGAGCAATCTAAATGTTCTTTGATTTCAATATTTGACTTTTGCCCAATTGGCTTGGTTCAACAGCATTTAATCCAACTAACTGCAAAGTACTAGTTACGTGATATAGATGCTGGCCAAAAGATAAATGGAATTCTTTAAATGTTGCTTGGGGGGGGGGGGGGGTCAGCCCTACTAAGTATAGTTGGGTGACCACAAACTTTATTTTTGTTCATTGTGTTCTTGCAGATTTTTCTGTTAGTTTTTATGAGGTCATAGGGTGAGGCTGACATTTAAAAGAAGATGCCGTCATATTAGAGGTGTTTTCTGTCCAAATTACACTGATTTTACGAAACGTGTACCACTGGGCACTAGATGTGGACAAGGCAATTGAACTTGCATTCAAACAAGATGAAAGTGAATATTTTCATGTTCAAACTGACATAAATCATCATAAGGGGGCCAATGTCATGCAGTGGCTACAAATAAGTAAGCTACACACAAGGAAGTTTGGTTGGAATCTCAAATCTGCTGTGAATTAACTTTGTGGCTGTAGTATGCAAACATAAACTGCCTTGCAGTTTCTTTCCTGCAATCTGAAGATACTAACCTACCTTGCAGGGTTCTTTCAAGGCTTAGAACAAAGAAATCTGGGTCCATTCAGAACATTCTAAATAGCTACTTGATTTCTATGTATCAGCAGCAGCATTGGATGAATCACTGTCTCTTAACAGACCTACCATTGATCTGAAGACCAACAAGGCAATGGGCAGGACCCAATAGTGCTGTTCCACTTACGTCACTGACATTGCACTAGCATAGGCAACCTGTATGCTGGCACAAGGTGTTTCCATAGATAACCTTGGCATTATGCTTATTCCAGTGTCTGTGAGCAGTAAGGGCAGCAGCATTGGGTACTGCCTAATATTTCATAATGCGTCACTCCTTTGCATTGTTAACTGGTAACTGCAATTTGTTTGGAAAGAACTTGAAGTGCAAATTCACAGAGATGTAATAATGTTTAGAAGATCCTGTCATCAGGACCCTAGCCACACTATACTACATACAGTGCACTGGATAGAATTATGAAGTTAATTCCGATCGTTATTGCTACCCCAGAGCAAACATAGGAAGGAACTCCTGGCTCCTCTGGCTTCTCATCAGCCACAAGCTTTCTGTTGCAAGTTAAAGAGGGTGGAATGGGAGGGTGTCTGCCTTTCCACTGCACTGACAGACATTTAACTACTAATTTAATTAAATGTATCAACTGAAGAATTGGTCACTTGCTGCTTTTAAAACATTTGCAGGACTGGGGAGAAGTTTGAGTGGAGAAACAGGCTTCAAGTTTTATTCTGCTGTTTACAATACTGTGCTTTCACACAGCATTATCTAATACAAAAGTATTATAAACTGTGAGGTGTGTATTTTACAAACACAGTTCTCATGCATCTTTTTGCCCACTAAATCTCAAACTGATTTTTATACCTCCTGTCTGATATAAAGTCCCAGGAACAGAATATAGAAGTTCTTTCAGGTAATGCATAAATTGCACATTGAAAAGGCATTTTAGAATTATGAATTTTTTTGAAAGATAGACAACATCCCCCACCCCAGATTGCAAGATATTACTGTTCACTTAGATTTCCTAAAGGCTTTTGATAAAGTCCCTCCCCAAAGGCTCCTGAGCAACTAAGCAGTCATGGATTTTTTTTTAAAGGGGGGAGGTTCTCTTATGATTCAAATTGATTAATAAACAGAGGACAGAGGATGGGAATACATAGCAATTTTTCCCAATGGAGAGATGTAATCATTGGAGTCCCACAGGGTTCGGTATTGGGACCAATGCTTTTTAACCTATTCATAAGTGATTTGGAATTAGGAGTAACTAGTGAAGTGGCCAAGTTTGCTAATGACACCAAGCTATTTAGGGTGGTTAAACCAAAAGGGATTATGTGAATCTCCAAATGAATCTCTCCAAGCTGGAAGAATGGGCATCAAAATGGCAAATGCAGTTCTGTGTAAGCAAGTGTAAAGTAATGCACATTTTGGCAAAAAAAATCCCAACTTCAAGTATACTCTGATGGGATCTGAGCTGGCAATGACAGAGCAAAAAAAAAAAAAAAAAAAAATCTTGTGATGAGAGCTCAAAGAAAATGTTGACCCAGTGAGCAGCTGCTGTGAAAAAGGCAAACTCCGTGCTAGGCATAATTAGGAATGGAATAGAAAACAGAACTGCCAAAATCTTACTCCCTTTATACAAATCTTTGGTATGGCCATACCTAAAAACATAGCACAGTTCTGTTTGCCTTACCTGGAAAAGAATATTACTGAGTTGAAAAAAGTACAGAGAAGGGCAATGAAAATGATCAGGGAGCTGGAGCAACTCCCTTAAGAGAAGCAGCTCCAACAATGGATTTTTTTAGCTTAGAAAAAAGGTGCATTAGCAGAGACATAATAGATGAGTTTAAAATAATGAATAGTGCGATGAAAGAGGAGATATATATATTTTTTCTTCTTCTCCCATAACACTTGAACCTAGGGTTATCCCAGGAAGCAGACTGGTGGGAAGTTTAGGATGGATAAAGTGAGGTACTTCACACAGCACACAGTTAAACTATGGAGTTTGCTGTTACAGTTAGTGGTGATGGCCACCAAATTGGTTCGCCTTAAAAGAAGACTGGTCAGGCTGAAGACTAAGGAGGCTATTTGTGGCTACCAGACTCGCTTGGTTATGTACTACCTCCTTGCGCAGAGGAGGCGTGAAGGTGTGCCTGCGTACACCAGTTGCTGAGCAGCATGGGCAGGCAGAGGTAGTGCATCTATACTGCTTGAGCAATGTTGTGGTTCAATCTATACCTTTGCAGGCAATCCACTTTTTGTGCTGGAGACTCACAAAAGAGCTTTACCTCCTCTACATCCATCACAGAGATACAGAAGAATGGCAATCGTGGAGTGATCTGTACTTCTGCTGCAGCCTGCTTGGTTTTAGTATCAACAATTGAGTAGGTCCCAATTCTGATAAATCGCCAAATTATCAAGAATTGAGCAGGCCCCTAGAATGACCATCTTGAAGGCTGCTCAAGCCAATTTTGCTGTTAAAAATGTAGCAGGTTGGGGGAGGGCATATAGTTCCCTGTGAAGTGCAATCTGAATCTAGGTCCATTATTCTTTTTAATCAAATGCCTAGTTGCCACAAGCAACTAAAAATTTCACCCAGGAGAATGAGTTAACTGCCAGAAGAAGAACAGAACACCTGGCTCCTCTTCTAGCATCCTGCCTCATTTCTGTGCTGGGTAGAGAGAATGGGAGCCCCCTCCTTCCTCAGTAAATGAGAATTAAATGTTCCTTTTTATATGCAATTTTTTTTCTACAGGTGGGGGGTTGAAAGCACTTCTTGCAATGGCAAGCAGGAAGGTAAATTTTCTTTTTCTCCCTTTTAAATATTTCTCTGTTACTTTACTCATTGATTTTGATTGTGTCATCAAAACTCTATGCTATCTAGACAGGTAGGACTGCTCCTTTCCCTGTTTTACTTATGCCCAACAATGCAATTTTGCTTCATAGCCAATGCTTTTAACATAGTCCTAATGCCAATAATTTATGGTTTAAGAAGTGCATGCATCCACATGTTCTGAAACAGGTAAATAAAGAAGCAATCAGTAGCAACTGGCATCCAGTATTAACACTCAATCATTTAAAGCAACACCAAAAGCAACAACAACAATCTTTTATTCTGTACAAGTATTAAGCACACAGACTGTACTAGGTATCTGAAGCTTTTTTCTGTCACTACAACTTTGTGATGTTGGCAATGAGAATAAAACAAAACAAAACAAATCCTGAAAGACAGACAATGACTAAAGAATGGGTATTTTATTTATTTAGCAAACTTATATGCCGCCCCATTCGCTGAAGCTGAAGGTAATAGTAAGCACAACTGTCACCTATCAGGGAGCAGGCACTTCAGTCCCCCTGTAATCAGACTCATCCATCACCCATAGGAGGCATTTGGAG